GTGTGTGTGTGTGTGTGTGTGTGTGTGTGTGCACAGTAAAAAATTTTTCGTCAATTTGTAAAGTGTAAAAATTTTTGTGTAGCAAATTACACTTTAGTGTGTATAATTTTACATTCTCATGTGTTGATTTAACATACTAGAATGTAGAATTGACATTAGTTTGTGTAAAAACAGTCAGTAACACAAATATTTGTGTTAAATTTGACGAAATTTTTTTTACTGCATGTGAAAAAAATTTTTTTTCCTCTGAAATTGTAGGAAATGAACGTTAAAATATATTTTAGAAAGCTAAAAAAGCTTTTTAAGGTAAAAAAAATTTTTTTACGAAATTTTGGGGGTACCCCATTTTGCCACCCCTACCCCATTTTGCCCCCCCCCTCCCCTATTAACGGAATGAACGGGAAGTTGCAGGGATGGCCTTTGGGGTCAACCGTTTTCCTAATTTTTTTTTGCTGTATGATCATTTTCCTCAAAGTTACAGCTCGTTGAAAGTCACCCATAAATTTAGAATTTTTTTTCATATCCTTCAATTTTTGTGACTAGTATAAAACGTATTATGAGAAAATTTTTTTAAAATTGCGATATAAGACCGGCTATAATAGCTAGATTTCTAAATAAATCCGACTAAAAAATATACTGCAATGTTCTTAACCATGTATGGTTACAATCAAATTGTCAGTGTATACCTTACCTACTTATATAACTCGCATAATTGTTAATAATGTAAATAATATTTTTTCATTCGGAATTTTATTTAATTAATTGTAAATATTTGGATCTAAATTATTATTCTTAATTGCATCACAAAAGAAGTAATTAATAAAGAAAATAAATTATCTTATCATCGTACCTCAATAAAAACAAATAAAATAATACTTTACTTGAAAAAAAAATTATGCTTATTAATAAATGCTTTAACGGCTTACAAAGTTTATCGATTTAGTTAAAATGGGTCCAGAGTTTTTCTTGATTGGTAAATTATTTGTATTGATAACTGGCTCAAGTAAAGGAATTGGCCGTGAATTTGCTATTACATTTTCTCAAATAGCAGAACGTGATTCACACTTTTTATTGATAGCGCGTAATGAAACTGGATTGCAAGAAACAGTTAGTAAAATGAGCAACAATGTCAGTGTTGATTACGTCAGTATGGATTTATCTTTAGCGCAAGCTGATCACTTGGAAGGTAATATTACGACTTGTTAACATTATATTAATGGTGTTTATGTCAAATTTCGCTAACAACTTACTCATACTTTTAAAATTCTTTTCCAGATATAATTAGAAAACGTATTAATCCGGATGAATATGATCATGCAATTATTATTCATAACGTTGGAACATCTGGTGATTTAAGTCAGTTGACCAATGAAATGAATAATTTCCGTGTTTGGGAAAAAATGTATGATTTGAATGTATTTTTGCCAGCTGTTTTAAACTCAGTATTCATGAAAATATTCAATGACAATGTCAAAGCTAAGAAGTTGGTTATTAACATGAGTTCTCTTGCTGCTAAAATACCTTTATCATCGATGGGATATTATTGCTCTGCAAAAGCTGCACGTGAAATGTATTTTAAGGTAATTATTAAGTTTATTTTTCTAAATTATCTTCAATCAGTTTTCTAATCGTTACATTGAAATATGTCATTACTTAAAAATGTAATTTGGTTTTCAGATCTTTGCTAAAGAGTTTCCGCAAGTCAACGTTTTGAATTATTCACCGTTTCTCACCGAGACTGATCTCTTAAAAGCGCAAGGGAGCATTAATAGAACTACAGAACTTCCTGAAATAATAAAATTAGCGCGACTAGTAGGATTAACATTAACGCCAAGTCAAGCAGCTCATCGTCTTGTTGAAATTGTACGAGGTCAAATGTACAAATCAGGCGACTTTGTCGATTACTATGATCCATTAACAATGATACTACTTTTGGCAAATGAACAATTGAATATTTTAGAAATATTGAGATTTTTAAACGCTGAGGATAAAATTTCCCTTGCTCAATCAATTATTGGAGAAACATCGAAGTTTCTTCCTGATAAACTAAAACCAATTCCAAAAGTGAATTTTGGGATATTGTAATTGAAAATATTTTTTTGCATCATAAGTTACAAGACATTGAAAAAAATCTAAGTAATCACATATTATAATTCTCAATCAATTTTTAATGAAAATAGTAACATATTACAATACGAGTGCCTAAAATTAAAATTCTTACTTAATATCGCTTGTAATATTATCGCTGATATCTGTATGTCTGTATGTATGTATTGTAACGGAGTGATCGTTACCCGTTGAAAGCCCCTTTTTCCTACCCAGTTAGTTATCGACGGATCACAGAGCGCTGTGATCTAAAGCCCTCGAAACGATAGTTTGAAAATAGTAAGTAAGGCCCCAAGGTGGAGACACCGATCCTGTGAGAGTGGAAGAGAAGAGTAAATTCGGGAAGGAGAGAAAAAACAACCCGACAAGAAGACATTGTGACTGTGCAGCTCATCGAGGTGACCACGAGAAGATAGCAAAGACTCAGATAAATATCAGTGATCCGCTCGTCCTAGTAGAACGAAGTGATAAACCTTTATTAGTTAATTATTTATTTGTCGTGCTAGGTCCAATGTCAGTTTGATTGTTAATTGATAAATTCTCATGCCTAGTTAAGGTTATAGGTTTTACCAATATTATAAAGAACGTGAGTCGAGTGGTTGTACGAAAGGAGTTACGCGAGACGGCGGACCAAGGTTTTTCCACGCACGAGATTTCTCCGATTAACCGAGACAAGGAAAACAGACCTCCGAGGGACGGTTGAACAACGAGAATAGGGATAGAAAAGTCTGGTCTTATTAATTCCTCGGGAATTCGGAATCAACTAGGCCGTTTAGTCAGCTGAAGCTCACCGCCATTTTGTGCTTAATTACAATCATTATAGGTTAGGGCCTAAAGACTAAATTGTTAATTAATAATACCAGGAATAATTCTGGGTTATTGATTAAAACATGTAGGCAAAATCTGGATTAATAATACTAGGAATAATATCAGATTATTAATTTAAGATCTCAACGTCATGTGCAAAATTTGATTCTTGGTAATTGAGTAATGAGTAAATTGGCTTAAGCCAGTATGAAATGATTTTTGTAAATTTTTTAATTAAATTATTTAAGATAAAAATTAATTTAAAATCAGAAAATAATGAAAGTTTAAGAATTATCACAAAAATTTACGGTCTTGAGAGAGAGTCGGTTATCTTTGTTACGTGCCAAAAACGGAAGAGCAAGGAATAGAATCTCAAGGTCGAACACAAAACTCTCAGTTTACACTAAAAATAAATGAAGTAAAATTCTCGGTTTATAACTGAATTAAATAAATATAATTGGATTAAATTAAAATAATTTGTTAAAATTAATTTCAAATATTAATAATTATCAAGAGGCTGGCAGTAGCCTGATCGGCTCGGTACCCGCTTTTCGAAAGAGTGGGACCCGGGTTCGATCCCGGCACACACCAATAATTTTCTGAAAGCCTCTGAAAGTGGCAGAGATAGCCGGGCAGCACACGTCTGACTTGGGCGATTACCCAGTTAAGCAACGACTTGGATGGGTGACCACTCTAGTCAGCGTTGGCTAGCGCGAGGGATCTCTGCATACTAGGAGAGGCCCATGATTCTGTTCCAACAGCCTGAGAGGTGAGGTTCAGGGTAAATGCGGTACAGAAAGCACAAGTCGGTCCACAGCCGCAAAAATTGAAAATGAAGTTACAATACTGTAGAACGGTCGGGTGGGACGTGCTGAGGGTCCAACATCAGAAATACAAAAAGCGTAGAGCTAGGAGGAAAAAGAGGAATCAGCCTTGTAAAAGACCGAGAGGTGTACAAGTAAAGCAATAATAATAATAATAATAAATATTAATAATTATCTAAAAATATCAACAAAAGATAACTGCACCGTTTTCGTTTTATCTCTCTGGGTTCCCGATCTAGTGGTTGAAAATACCAGGATCAAAATAAATCAAAATTAATTTATGTACATAATTTGGACGCAACAGTACAATTAAACGGTACAACTAGTACTAAAAAGTAATATTGCAAGCAAAAAATAATTAATATTATTTATTATTAATCATAATAATCGACGAAATCACCCGACTTATATCTTTGACCTCTTATGATTCGAATCAGACCTTTAGCAGCTTGAATGGGCGTTAATATTTTTCTGTCTTGTCGTACTTTCTGTGTAAATTCAACCGCTTCTGTAGTTCTATTTATTTTTTCTATAGATCTTATTAGATCTGTGTCGACAACATACGGCGAATAATTTAAAACGTTGACGTTTGGAAACTCTTTAGCAAAAACCTAAGAAACAAATTATATTTCAAGATTACCTTATTTATCAACGTAACAGTCAGTTAGCTAATGAAATAATTTAAATAATAAACTCAATAATTACTTTGAAATACATTTCACGTGCAGCTTTTGCAGAGCAATAATAACCGAGTGATTGTAATGGCATTTTACTGAGAATAGAAGTCAAATTAATGACCAACTTCTTAGCTCTGACATTGTTATTGAATATTTTCATGGATACTGAGTTTAAAACAGCTGGCGAAAATACGTTCAAATCATACATTTCTTCCCAAACACGAAAATTATTCATTTCATTGGTCAACTGACTTAAATCACCAGATGTTCCAACATTATGGATAATGATGGCATGATCATATTCATTCGGATTGATACGATTTCTGATAATATCTGGAGAAGAATGGAAAATGTCAGAATGTAATTAACGAAATTGGACATATGTATTAATTACATAATGTTACAACGGAATAATATTACCTTCCAATTGATCAGCGTGCGCTACAGATAAATCCATACTGACGTAATCAACATTGACACGATTACTCATTTGGCTAGCTGTTTCTCGCAATCCAGTTTCATTACGAGCTATCAATAAGAAGTGTGAACCTCTATCTGCTACTTGAGAAAATGTAATGGCAAAGCCTCGCCCTATTCCCTTACTTGCACCAGTTATTAAAATAAATAATTTTCCTACCAGAAAAAACTCCGGACCCATATTTATTAAATTGATAAACTTTGTGATTCGTTGGTACACTTATTAATGGTTACAATAATTTAATACTTTCGTTGAGGCATAGTGAAAAACGTGCAATTTTTTCCGCTTTATATATGTTTTGGCGATCCCAGTAAAGATAATGTTCGATTTTATTTATTAATTTTGGTCATTAAGCACAACTTACAGTAATTTTCACAGCTGTTAGATTCATGCTCTCTGTGTAATTCAGATAAGTCAGTTCTACAAGTCATTTTAACATTTATTTGTTTTAAATATTGTGGTTTAAATCAAAGTCATATGAATGTCAAATCGGTTTACGAAACATTCAAATATTTATTATAAATTAAGGGAAACGCTGGAAAATATATAATAACTAGCTTTTACCTGAGGCTTTGCTCGCATGCTAGATGGCGTTGAAGTAGCTAGATTTTGAAATTTTTCGACAAACAATTTTTTTATTTTTCGTAAAAAATAAATTTTTTTTTTTTAAAAGTATTCTATGTTACTTCTAATACCTCCAAGAATATAGGTTCAAAGTTTCATGATGATCGGTTGAGTAGTTTTCGCGTGAAAGCGTAACAAACAAACTTACATTCACATTTACAATATTAGTAAGGAAGTAGGGATGACAATCGTTGACAATAATTTAATACATCCTACAAACTTACAATAAATATTAAAAAATAAAAGCAACTGCTCATGAAACTCCCAACACTGCCCTTGTAAACACTTCATTATCAGATAAAATCGGTCTACTACACGGAGAGAAAAATATGGAAATCATTCCTATAATTTTAATGAAATATTTTCCTATACCATTTTAGAAGCGATTACTTAAATTATGGGAATTATACCCATAATTTTTGGGAAACGTTACTATAATTATGGGAATGGTTCCTATAATTATAGGAACGATACCTATAATTATAACTGTAATATCGGCATGATTCCCATAATATATAGGAATGGTTCCCATAATATATAGGAATAGTTTCCATAATATTATAGGAACCATTCCTATAATATTATGGGAATCATTCCCATAATATTATAGGAATGATGCCAATAATATTGGAGTAATTTTTTTTCACACCACTGTGGTATTTAATTAATTACTTTTCACTAGATTTATTTTTTTTTGATTAAGTGATTCTTTTTTTATAGGACGTGGCTAAAGGTGCCATACCTTTAGCCACTCTCTTTTTTATAATATATAAATTGATAAAAAAAGTTATCAGTAATAATATTTATTATTATTATCATTATGAAATTAATTAG